TTTAAATATTTATAGGGAAAGACAGCTATATTGGCTGTCTTTTTTTTATGCTTCCCAGCGAAGTGCCTGAGCGGCGTCGAGGTCAAGCCTATCCTTTCAAGCTATTTACCAGTTGTATATACGCTTCCATCGCGGCATCCTTCGTGGTGCCGCGCAGCGCATCCCAGGCTTCGTACTTTGCTTTACCCACAAAGTCGAACATATTAGAGGGGGCCTCACCACCCGCATCACCTTCAGTCGCTTGTTTATAAAGGCTGTATAGTTTCAGTAAGGTTTCGTTATCAGGCTTTTGCGACAGCGTTTTACTATTGGCAACCGCTTGTTGAAAATCATCAGTAAGCATAAGGCACGGCTTTTTAATAAAGATAACTGAAAACGGTGACCGCCAATCGTCAAGGGCATCTTAAAATACAGCCGCAAATGTGTGATCCGGAGCGGTAACCTGTATTTTTGAAGCATGGCAGGATATGATTTGATGACTACATTTAAGACCCGGAAATTGCTCTTCTTACTCCTGGTGCTGATCAGCAATGCTGCCGGGGCACAATCTCCTGAAAAATCAGTGGTGAAGATTTTTGTCACCAGGCAACAGTATGACTATGATCAGCCGTGGCAGCGAAGCAGCCCGGTAAAAAGCTCCGGTTCGGGCAGTATTATAGATAGCAACCGCATTCTTACCTGTGCGCATGTGATTGAGTTTGGTGAATTTATAGAGGTACGAAAAGCAAAGGATGCCCGTAAGTACACCGCCCGGGTAAAGTTCATTGCACCGGAGTATGACCTGGCCATACTGGAAGTAGATGATCCGCGCTTTTTCAGCAAATCGACGCCTATGGAATTATCAGAGCTGCCGCATATCGGTGAGCGCGTAACGGCCTATGGCTTCCCCACAGGAGGCGATGATCTGAGCATTACCTCCGGCATTGTATCCCGCATTGAAAACATTGATTATTCCTATAGCGACTATAATAACCTGGGTGTTCAGATCGATGCGGCCATCAACCCCGGTAACAGCGGCGGCCCCGTATTGCAGGATGGCAAGCAGGCAGGCGTTGCCTTCCAGGGGCGGAGCCAGGCCCAGAGTATAGGGTATATGATCCCCACCCCGGTGATCCGTACTTTTTTAAGAGATATTGCTGATGGCGTTTATGATGGGCCGGTTCCGCTATACCTCAAGTGGCAGAAACTGGAGAATCCCGCCCTCCGCCTGTGTTATGGAGTGGATGATACGCTGACCGGTGTGCTGATCAATGAAGTACATGCACAATCGGCATTAAACAAATTGCTGCTGCCCAATGATGTGCTGCTGGCTATTGATAGTATTCCCGTACAAAATGACGGCACCATTCTCCTGAACGACAAC